AGTTTAAGGATAGCCATTAACGTTAGGTCTAACTTCATCCACTTATTTCGGTGGATTTTCCTCTACTTACTTTGAAAAGTTGACATTTTGAGCAGACCAGACTGTTCACAGCAGCCGCCATTTTCTTTTGTAAGTGCTGAGTAACCGGGCCTATGGGACACCTTTCTTGGGCAGCGTTCTGGCAGCGGGGCGGGCAGCGGCATAAAAGTCATGTGAGAATGCCATATATGCGTCCACTATATAAGGCACGATCAGGCCTGAAGCACGATGGTATTTTCAGGAAATCACCACCATTAGCTTTCATATCCCTTCATATTCCATCATTTACCCCCATTGGCTTCCATTCTCCTTTATCGGCCTTCTTTACCTACATTACCTTTCATCGGACCTCATTTACCGCTATTAGCTTTCATTTTCCTTCATTCCCCCTTTTTTTATTCACTTTTACCTGCGTTCATTTATTTTTTTGATTTTTTTTTGTGTGTCTTTTAAATGAACACTAGTGAGCAGCACATAGCAACGCGACCGTTTCTTGTTAACTTGACTTATTTCTCTGACCAGTTTCCGCCTGATCACACAGACATCATCAAGGAGTTTAAAACTTTATACCTTATGATTAAGGCAAAATCACGTTTCTGTAAGGGTGTGAACAGCAAAAAAAAAACACCGACAAAATACACGTGCAGGATATGACTATAATTCTGCGTTATAAAATTGCAATGTTTAATTTTGGGGCTCACGGATTTAGGGTAAATACGTGAGCCCCAAAATTAAGCATTGCAATTTATCACGCGAAGGAAGGAGTGCATTACGTTAGCTAAGGGAAAACCCTACGGAACAGAACAGAACTTGACTCTCTGAGAAACTAAGTCCTTTTGGCGCCATTTTTAATCCGAAGGCTTTACATCGTGATCCTCACACAACAGACTTGGTAACTTTTTTTATAGTAAAGATAAAATGAAAGCTTATGGGGGTAAATGAAAGCCGATGAAGGAGAATGAAAGCTAATAGGGGTAAATGAAGGAAGATGAAGGAGAATGAATGAAGCAAATGAATGAAGATGAAAGAGAATGAAAACTAATGATGGTAAACGAAAGAAGATGGAAGAGAATGAAAGCTACTCTGAAGCGTACACTGTTTGGAACAATTTAGGTTTCTGGGAAACTGCCCACCTACCCCACCCCTAATCCAACATTTTGCCTTAAGTAAGAAGTAAGTGTTAATATTGACTTAGGGGAAGGGTAGTTGGGCAGTTTCGGGAGACGATGTCATTTAATCAGTGAAGATGCGTAGGAGTTGAGCACTAAGTAAACTGAATCTTTTTTTTTTTTTATGATCTTTCCCTTTACCTAGAACTACCTATAGATGTTTCCCGAATCGAATGAATTTTGCAATAAATCCCAAACACCAAATAAAATTCCTTTAATAATTTTAAGTCAAAAACATGCACACTGCGAACATTTTTAATCGCTTCCATTTTTTTTTTTTAACAATTGTTTAGGGTGCCTGGCTTCATCGTCGTGCGATAGGTTTTGAGTGAGGGAAATTAGTCACTCTGGCAAAAGACAACGTCCATTGCCTGAATTATTTTCTATCCGTATTCGGCAAGCAAAGATTTTGACCAATTCGGTAGCTCAGTCACCTTAATCAGCGTCTAGCTCCAAAGAACTGAGTCAACGGGTCAACCAGCCAGAGACAGTAAAGTGCTAAAAGATATTTAGATATTTGCAGGTTGATTGTTGACATATATTATTCATTACATAAAATTAATTATTGTTTTGAGATCACGATCTGTTCTACAAATAACAAAAAGGATCTACAGTGAATACCTAATTACAAGTTTTATTTTCATCCTTCATGAATTGAATAACAAGCACCCGGATTTGTGCGACTATTTCACAAGTATAATAATATAGTCAATTTTGAATATGCCGTTTGGTGTTTAAAAGCAAACAACTGAAAAACTAGCAAAGCATACAGCGTTCTCTTGATTTAAAGATTGTCGTGTTAAAAACCAAAAGTTCAGTTGTAAACAGTTGGGAAAAAGATACTTTTTGCTGAAGTAAAGTGCGATCCAGTTGTCATCAGTAATCTGAAACCGGTACAAGAGGATCAGTAAACTCGCGGCTATAATTTTTCGGGCTGCGGTACAACATATTAGGTTCTTAAACTGCTTAAGACAGACTAAAGAATTGATTGGTTAGCTGTGTTTAAACATCCTGTGCTTAAGTTTCCTCATCTAAAATTAAGTGCGATTTAACCAATGATCATCTCTGTTTTCCCGCATTGACTCAAATGCAATAAAACAAATGCATGCGAACACACTTAATTCATTTGTCTTGGCATGACATTTCAAGGCGATAAAATTGAAAGAAAAGTTGTCGGCATGTATCCGTTTGTCATCAACGAGTAAACTTTCAAATCTGAATTGAAACATAGCAGAGGTTTTGAATTGTATAATTTTAATTTCTAATTGGAAAGCAGCTTTTACCGAACTGATCACTACCCTCTTAGTATGACATCATTGAGGGAAGATAATATCTAAGAAACCCCCCGAAGGCTATGGGATCTGATGGGATTTATTTAATTTATTTTCGAGAATAATTGCTTCCAACCGGTCATTTTACCAACGCACTACATTTACATTATTTTGAACTCCGGTTAGTGTTACAGCACAACTCATTACTACAAGTGAGCAAAATTTTCTTCTTCATCATCATCATCACTTCGTCGACACGCACTTGATAATTCTAGTGTGTGTGTTTACATACAATCTGCGCAAATCAGTACAATGGTGTTTGGAGGCCCTTTACAATGCCGAAATTCAACAGCCCCAAGCACACTTTCCTTTACCACCGCTGCGGTGTCTTCGATTCTAATGTTAATAACAGTGCCAGGGAACCTCCTTATTTGTGTTGCTGTTTGTAAAGATCCGTGCAAAAGTTTGAGAACACCCTTCAATCTCTTCTTGTTAAACATTTCAGTGGCAGACCTTGTGGTGGGTGTTGGAGTGCTTCCTCTGTCCATAGTATACCACATCATGGAGGGATTGGGTTCGTTTTCAGTTGCCTTGATTAAGATTTTACATCTTCTTTTCTTCATTTCTTGTACTGCGTCTGTAGTGGGAATCGCTGTTTTGAGTTTAGATCGCTACATCTGCGTCACGTCTCCGTTAAAATATCGCTCAAGGTTGACGTCCTCGCGAGTGAAGAAAATATCTTTAGTCGTTTGGTTAATTTCAACTGTGGGCCCTTCTGCTTACCTGTATATAGATTTCATAATATACACCTTTGTGTTTGCGAATAGCACCATTCTTCTTACTTTAATCGTTTTAGTATTTGTCCATCATATGATTTCATGTAGTCTACGCTCTCAGCGAAAACTACTTCATTCTCTTACTGACAGCGACAAGATGAAAATCAGATTAATCAAACGCGATGAGAAAGTTACGAAAACATTTCTAGTTTTTCTTTGCTCCTTTGTCGTTTTAACTTTGCCACCTTTGTGCTTTAGCTATGTGTTAAATTTCAGCACAACTTGCAGCTGCAATACATTTCATGTTATCAGAGATTTTCAGTTCATATCGATCTTATTTCCCAGTTCCGTGAACCCGTTTATATATGCGCTGAGAATGGTAAACTTCAGAAAGACTATAAGAGTTTTGTCTTTCAAAACGGCGCGGAAATTTGTCAGTGTCCCTCCCACATGGGATTCATATTCAAGCGATACTTTCCCTGGAGAGCTCAGACAGGAACCTGATTCAGAGGCCAATGGATGCATCATCAACAAAACGAACCAAAAACCGAACACTTCATCAAACCCTCTTCTGGCAGACACACTAAATTCCAGCTTAGATGTTGAAAATGCTGCGAAAGAAACTTTGGTTGGTAATGATTCCTTAGACTGTAATGTAAAACAAACTATCAAGGAAGAACAACTCGGAATATCTCACTTTTACAGAGTTACTACTAATTTATGAAGAACTGATTTCAAGCCCTGTTACAGAAATTTTGTGTATCATATATGATTAACGCTGGGATATTAGACTCCCGTTTTCTGGTGGACCCTGGCCGAGTAATAATACTAAGTCGATAAAGGTAATCGGATCTTCAGCTATCTTCGTAAGTAAGGGAGCAATAATATCAGTAGAATTTTTTTAGTATATTGATTTATTTATTGTGGCGATTTGCTTCAGCATTATTGAAATTTAAATATTAAAATTTCAATCAGGGCTCAAAGTACAACTGACAATTTTATTATATTCCAAAATAGCCTGAATTGCAGATTTCTCCTCTAGTCGCCACCTCGTCACGCTCTCTCGGAGGTTTGGCTCGAGGCCGAAATGCAGGCTAATACCGAAAGACATCGCTTTACTATCATTATGCAAGCTCTGGTAACGAATTTTGAACATCTTTTAATAAAATTTCAATCCGCAAGCCAGCAGGGACGTAGCTGCCTTTAAGCCATTAGCACAAAGCTTAACAAAAATCTGGGTTAAAATAAGCTCATGGATGTAATCGCTTGTTAACACGGCGTGAAATTTTACCTAATACAGGCAAACAATGTCTATCGTTGTGATGGGCATGCAAAATTGGCTCATTATTCACTAGGAAATCTAAATCTGCTGCTGAACGCCATCTAGGTTTTTCAATGCAAGTAGATACGTTGAGGGGTCCCCTTTGTTTACGTTACCGGATTACCTGCTTGAATCATTCAGCCTGAATAATTTAGGTTAAAAATTCCTAGTTTTGAAGAATCTCAGCTTAAAAAAAAACATCTATTTAACCTTTTTTTCCTCCGGTATAGTTTCCTTTGGCCACCACTTTGAAATATGATGAAGCCAAGCGGCTCTTACAAAAGAATAGTTAATTTCATACCCTGACAATGTTATTAAAAAGCTATACTTCGAGGAAACCAATCCATCTGAACGGTTCTTCGTATTAGTTTTCTTTACTTTTAAAACTCTTTTTTGAAACTAGCCTCACTCTTGATCTGCAGTC